CTGGCGTCCATATCTGCGCATAACAAAACTCAAATGCGGAGCTTGCTCTGTTTACCGCCATGGCAATGGTCACCTTTGATAGAGAGCGTCCGATTTGGAAGCATCTGATAAAAAAAAGCCATTTTGTCGGCGTTGTAAATCTCCCCAGGTGCATAGCGCTCCAGCATTCCCGGCATCTCTTTTTCAAGCCATGCGGCAGATTCTAGTGCGTCGGCTGAAGACGATTCTCCGCTGTTTACCTTTCCCACAATCGCATGCCGGCCCTTGAACTTGTCCAGGCTTCCGCTGCTTGCCTGAAAATCATTGTGACCCAGCAGGCAGGCAAAACCTTTCGCTTTCTACTGCAGTACAGCGGCAGTTGTGGGGACGTTATGTGCCCGGATAGACATAAACCATTTAAAAACAGCCTTGTCAACGTTTTCATAGACCGCCAGCTTCAGTCGTTTACGTAGACCGCTTATGCTGCTCTTCAATGAGCCAAGTATGGTCTCCTTCGCCTTCAAAATCGTCGACAGCGAACTCTGAGGAATTCCAAACCGGGCTGCAACATCTTTCTTCTTTTCACCATTGGTGACTGCTTGCACAATCTTCGCTTTCTGCTCAAATGACAACACCTTTCGCTTGCCGGAGCTCATAGTGCTAAAGCACTAATGCACGAAAAAGTGTCACTAGGCTTCAATACCAGAACGCATGGGCTGACCAAAACAACGAGAAACGCAAGCTTTCAACTTTAAAAAACGAGCGTGTTGGTAAATACTTAAACACCGGAAAGAATAAACACAAATTCGGGACGCAAACAGGTGTATCGTCTGTTTGCGTCCCGAATTTGTGTTTATTCTTTCCGGTGTTTAAGCAAGCTTTCAGTTAGGCCTCAACCGATCTACACAGTGCAAATGAAGCCGACGGACGAAACAGCGGTGGCTCTAGTGTCCTCTAGTGGCCGTTTTGTACGCCACACTCGCCAGATTCGCCGACTTCTCCCCAGAGGGCACCCTCCGCAGCATTGGGTGCATTGGGCCAGATGGGCCAGTTAGGCGGCCCGTTTCACCTTTTGCGCCTTATCGGGGGCCCTTTTCAGTGCGTGTGCTTCCCAAAATCTCTTTGGGGCCCAAAAGTTTGTGCTGAATTGTCCATGAAACTTCGTTACATCGAAATTACGGCAAACGAGAATTTGTTACGTAGAGGTAAACAATGCATGGCATGCATACACTTGCAGTTAGAAAAGGTTGTGTACTTCGTTGCATCGGGGGTTTCGTTACATAGAAGTTTGTTACGTCGAGGTTTGACTGTACCACCTAGTTATTAGTATGCAAATTTCACGTGCAGATGGCCTGTTGTTGTTGTTGTTTGGTGTTTTTTATGTCAGTTGCACGAAGGTTTGAGGCATGCAAACCAAATGTTTACCGTATTTGCACGAATTTAAAGCGAGTTTTTTTCCGAAATTACGTGCTCCAAAATGCACCTCGCGTTATATTCGGAATCGAGTTCAGCCACGAGGCGCGCGAGTCTGGAGAAAGCCAGAGGAGAAAGCCATCCCTCCGGCTCAATGCAAAAGATCCGGTGGGAAAAGAAGTGGGGGTGTGGAAGGGAATTTATTAGCTATTGGGCCACTTGAAGGGGCAATTAAAAAACAAAAAAAATGTTTTTATCGCTTTTGTGTTTGTGCAACGCGTGCACACCGCAGAAACTCGGCGCGCGCGCGCCATGCTGCAATGCGGGCACTGGCCAATTCGAGCCAAGCCTAGCCGGGCCAAGTCAAGTCAACACAAGCCAAGCCAAGCCAAGACCATTGACCGTGTTTACGCAATCGTGCAACACGAGGCATTTGTTTATGCATAGGGACCATAACAAGAAGTGTGATCGTGTATCGGATTCAGCCACTGATCTCTATGACAATCGCTGGATCGCGTTTGCCCGCTCCGCGAATGCGGCCACTGGCGGCCATCTTTTTGGTAGAGTTATATTACCTCTAGCCAACGTACAGCTCCTGCAGCCACCATCATCCACCCATGGCAGACAGCGTTTTGGCAGGTGTAATGGCAGGCCGCCGTCAGAATAGGGTGGATGATATTTCGTGCTTGATTGAAATTGTTTGACAAAACATGTTTTTGAAACCCGGCGTGAACGGTAGCCCGATCTTTGAGGGCTCGGTGAAAGTTTCACGAAATCACAGCACCGGGGAAAAGCAGCACAGCACGCATTGAAAGTCGCATCAAAAGAAGCATCGAAAGCAGATGCCGGTACGGAGTCTGCTTTCGATGCGAGCTGCGCTGCTTTCCCCCGGTGCTTCGCTTTCGTAGAACTTTCGCCGGGTCCTCAAAGATGAGGCTACCGTTCATGCCGGATTTCAAGAATCTGCTTCGTCGAACAACTTCGATCAAGCACGAAATATCACCCATGGTCCCCACAATACAGGGTACTAGATCCACGGCTATTTTATGGCAGCCTGCCGCCATTGCGCTGTCCGCCATATTACTGTGATGGCTAGAGATAATATGACCCTACCAAAAAGATGGCCGACTGTGGCCGCATTCCCGTCCATAGGTGGAGCTGGTCAAATGTGATCCAGCAAATAGACATAGAGATCAGTGGAATCAGCAGTCTTTTTTCTGCCTGCGCATTGTTTAGTTTCTGCTCCAGAGTGATCTCGTGTTTGTGTGTTGGTGCTTCTACTTCGTGCCTTGTTTGGATTGTGGGCTGCCGAGGAGCTCGCAGGGAAGAAAAAGGAACTACCAGACAAGCGGGTGCCGTGCTGCTACTTATCTGGGTAGACGCCAAGTGGATTGTAAACGGAAGGACCTGAGGAGTGAGGACGAGTGCGGTCGAAACATAAACTGATATTCCTTCTATTTTCATTGAGTTTTCACGTCTGCTATGCCCCCGAGTGCGAGAAATTGACGCGGCCTCGGTTCGCGTTATAATAGTAATAATAGTTTTTTTTTTTTTTGAGGGCATCAAAACCTGCCCTCGCGGTATATTCGTGGTCGCGTTATATTCGTGCAAATACGGTATTTTGCAGTAAGCATATATTTAGAAAATTAATTCTGACGTCAAACCTTGGAAGCTACGTGCATAAGTGTCAGCAACAGGGGCAGATCCAAGGGGGGGGAACGGGGGTGGCCTCCCCCCCCAAACAAAGTTGATCCCCCCTTCCCCTTCTCGGAGGGCAATTTGACATGGGTGGACCCCCTGGTTCACAAGAAAGAATGGGAGGATAGTATCCTCATGAATTTTCCCTCTCCCCCCCAAAACGGAGTTCTGGATCAGCCCCTGGTCAGCAAATGATAAATAGTGAAATTGGGCCCTCATTCATTTTAAGGCCCCGAATTATGAATGAAATTCAAAAATAACCAGTTGAGTGTTTCTTGTTTTTGTATTTTACAACTTAGTTACTTTTAAGGAAGAGCTCAGTGGGATTGAAATCCTGCTAGTTACTGCCGTCACTTCTAGGAGAACTGCAGTTGTAATATTCAACATCTTTTAAGGGTTTCCCAATGTGTCCCAGTGGGCTTTAGTTTGATCGGTCATGCTGATTGCTGACCCCTAAAGGCCCACATGCAAGAGGGTGTTTTCAGGAATTGAGCATTTGCAGAAGCAATCACTTTCTTCAAGTGCTTGAACTGATATCAGTGGCCTTTGTTTAGAATGACAGTGTACCATTTTCCCATTAGTAGAGCAGCACCAAGAGCTTAGTGTCATTGGTTTTAATCCCTGTGCTCTTATCTGGATCCTTGAGAGGGGGGCTATTGTTAATGCCGCTCAGACAGCAACAACGAATCTCAGCACAACCATGGGAGAGTCACGCTTTGGTTGCATACTTTGATGTACGCAACCACCAAAGTATCTTTAGCCATAATGAGTGTAATTGAAAAAGCATCTTATACCATCAGCCTCTTTGGTTTCAAGTACAGAGCTTGTGACTCGGAGCACAAATAGAAAAATGAGGAACAAAGTCTTGTGTAACATGCTTTGAGTTCCATAAGCTACACCAGTGGTTCTCAAATGGGGGTCCGCGGACCCTCTGGGGCCCTTGAAGGCACTCTAAGGGTCCGCGAAGTTAGTCAACCCGGCAATAAAAATTTCATCTTTTTGAGGTCGAGAAGAAATGTTTCAGTTTGCAGGCAAGTTTTCTCGTGTGTATGTCAATAACAGAGGTCTACTTCACACTAGCCCTTAGTTATACCTAATTATTAAATAATTATTATATTTAACCTATACCTTTCCCCTCCCCTCACCACGAACGGTCCTCCATCGTCTCCGCCGATCCACAAGGGGTCCGCGAAACACCGATGGTTGAGAACCACTGAGCTACACAGTTAAAGGGGCGGTGCAACAATATTCAATTGGAATGTTTTTGACTTTACACAAGCTTACTGGCACTAGTGGGACTCTAGGATAATGGCACGGAACGCCACTGGCCAAGAAACGCCTTTGTTGCAGTGTACTACTGTCAAGGACAAAAGCAATCATTTTCATTTAATCTCTCCTTTGCAAAATGTGATGACGTAACGTCGGGATCGCAGTACACCCCAATGACGATATTTGAATACGGTACACAGATTGGACCTGAGCATTGCATGGGCACTCGATTTGGGCTCGTGATAATTACTTGTTCGAGAAGCATTCAGGTAGTGGCCCGTGTCCAGTCGGTGCATAACAATGTCTGGAACTTAGTGCGTGTCCTGTGCTTTGCCAACCCCAGCGCGTGGCTATGATCAACATTGGCGGCATATAATCGGCTTCAGATCACGTGGCGGCTTGTTCTGGCTGCGAGTTGAGGGGGTGAACGTTGCTCGTTTTTCTTTCAATTTTTTCTGGGACTTCTATTGCGTGGGGTGAAAAACAAATGCATGTTTCATAGGTCATTAACGTCAGGGATCCGTTCTAAGCGGTATTCGCGCAAAGTACAAAAATTGCTGCATCACCCCTTTAATGACCGAAGCCACGCATGGTCGTTTGATCACTGTGTGCTGCGCATAACACCTCTTCTTCGTTTTCAGCCCTGGTCTTCTGGGTACATCGCTATTGTGCTGCCCCCCATGAAGCTGGACACAATGCTGCTGGACACAATGGTGTCTCCGGACAGCTACGTGCAGCAGAGGCAAGACTCCATACCCGACCGTTACCTGACTGCCGAAAAGATGCCGGACCTACCAGCTACACCGCTCCTGGACGACGTTTAAATGCGTCACACCAATGACGTCCTCCCTTGGCTCCATTAAAAGAATGGGTACCTTCTTGTAAAACGTGTTGGTCACCTTCTGCTAATACAGTGATGTCTCGTTAATATGGACACCTCCATACCCGTAAAAAATCGTCCATAATGTGAATTGTCCAAATTAATGAGACAAAAATGCATGTATTTTCCAAGTTTGTCCCCGAAAGTGGTCTTCATGTAGCGGAGTATCCATATTAATGGGGTCCATATTAACGAGACATGACTGTAGTGACTTCAGCTCGTTCTTTTAAGCCTTCTATAGAAGTTTTAGTGCACAGCTCTTAGGCGCCCGTTTGCGGCTTGAGCGGCGTCGGCGTCGGCGTAACCGCGCAGTGCATTATGGGACGCGTCGTCATCAGTGACGATGCCGATGACGTCATTAGTGATGTCAATGATGACGTCATCATCACATGGCCTCACAGGGGTCATGTGACCCCGTGAAGTCACGTGACCCTCGTGAGGCGACGGTGACGCCGCTCAGAGGGAGGATTAGCAGACAGGATGAGGAGGGAGGAGGGGTTTACGCTCCCCTCTGTACCCCTTCCTTTTCCTCCTCTAGAGCTGAGCTCTAATTCAGCGTTACAGGGAGCTGTAAACGGCTTTCTTTTTTTTTCCAGTGACTGTCAATTCAGGGGGTGGGGATCAGTGGCCAAAGGTGTTAGCGGCGATCGTGGATTGGATCTCCACCCGTGCCCGTCTTGACCCAGATGAGCATCGTATTGGCGTGTGGTCGTGTATCACTACTGTGTGATGCACGTTAAAGAATCCAGGCTAACAGTCGGACTGCACTGGTTACATTTTTCATCTACAGGAGAGGCACCAGACGCCCAATGGGGCTAAGTTCCGAATGTGTAACATTCAGACAGCCCAGTTACTTTTGTCACCTCGGAGCAAACACAACACATTTCCTGTGGGCAAAAAATTATGCGTAATCTTTTATGATGGGCCCAGCTGGAAGGTAATGCCGTTTGGCAAAGGATGCACCTTTCAATTTCCAAGAAGCAGAAACTCGCTTATTATATGGGGGCACCTCCGAGGAGTCAGTATGTTTGTCAAGCTATAACATCCATCACTGGACGAGTTGTTGACTTTGACACGTGTGTGGATCGAACTCGCTTCCGTCGCTTGAAAGATGTAACTATTTACGAGCCACTCAGCCCTAAAAGAATGGATTACCGTTACTAGTAATCGCTTTTAGTAATTTGGAAGAAATTGATTACTCATTATCTCTGAAATTATTTTCATGTGGCTTTGCCCAGGTACCTTAAAAAAAAATTAGATTTATATTTTCATAAATGTATTGAAATACCATTATGAATTTCTCACATCCCCAATCTTATTGTGGTCGTTGTAAAAACAAATGTCTGCGTAGACAAAGACGGAAGGTGCTATATTAGGTTTCGTGTGTTTTATGTCTTTCTCTCTCTCAAAGCACACATATTGTTCTGTCCTTAAGAGTCGATTCGAAAGCAAGAAGTGGACTCAGCCACAAGCTTGGAGAAAGGGCAAGTCCACTAACAGGAGGAATGTCTCTATGTTCACGGACAAGCCCTTGACCTATGGTCACTGACTGTGATAGGATGGGAACGGCAGAGAGGACTTTCAGTTGCCACACACCCAACGCATGCTTCCTAGTACCTTCAATGTCTAGGTTCGAACATTTCACTAAATGCTTTTTCATCGAACACCACTTACTAGAACAGTGTAGGAATCCTGGTTCTAGGAACTAACTTTTCTTTGATACTGGAAGGCAACAGGGCTGTAATAATAACTATATTTTTTTTTTAAGCAGAGTGAGGGGCTAACAATAAGAAAATTTATTTTCTCTCCTTCAATTTTTTTTTAATAGGAACTGATGATTTTGGTATTTATGTAGCCAGTAAAAAGGGGAACCAAGACTTCATTTTTAGATATGTGATTATTGAGTGCACTGATGAGTATATGTTCCTTAAAGGTTTGTTTCCTTGTCCTTCAATAAATTTATCTTGCTTCAAGAACGAAGCCTTGCTTGAATCAGTGAACTGTCTCGATGTCGCATGAAGCAAAAAAAAAAAAATGTGTCGCTCCTTTGCGTTTGTTGCTAGTAGTCCACAGAAAGGTAGACCTGCCATCTTCTCAAGCCACTTCCATAGGATGGAATGAAAACATGAGTAAACAGACAAATTCAAAAGTACAAAATAAAAATATCAGTGTAGAATGGTTGTATCAGAAAGGAAGATGAAGAGGGTAGAAAAATATGGGGTGGAGGACAGCCACTTAACCTTACCAGAAAGCTACTCCGTTAACCATCGCATTGCAAACTGCAGGTCAAGTTTAAAGGTCAGTAAATAAGGTCATTGAAGGTAGGGTGCCTTCATGTGCACTTTCCCAAACAATGCAAGGAGAGACCAACCGGTATCTTCTTTGTAATACTAGACCACACAGCATCCGAGATCTGTCAACTGCAAACTTTGTGTTCATGATTCTCTATAGAACGGAGCACCCAGTAATGGTTTGTACTTTCAATATGGAGATGTGGGAGACCACTTAGGGGAAGCCGAAACTCTGTCTCAGTGGTTACGCATACAAATGTGACAACCGAGTCGTCTGCCGGTTTTACTGGAAGGGTGAGCATTGCGGGAAATGTTTGGGTCGCGTTGTTATGGAACGCGATCCATCCAATGGGAAGTACAAGCTCGTATTGCAAACGGCGTACCCAGTCACATTTTGTTATGCATTTACCCTTTATAATTTACTGGCCAAAAATTTGGGTTGGAATGGGACCAGTTTAGTCACTTCTGGTGATTTGATAGTAACATCCAAACAATTTTTTAGAGTGCAGCTCATAGGCACCCGTTTCCGGCTTGAGCGGCGTCGCCGTTGGCGTAACCGTGCAGTGCATTATGGGACGTTTCCCATAAGGGCTTCACACGTTACCATCACAAGGGTAACGAATGACGTCACGAAGGTTGTGACATCATTATGGAAAACGTCCCATAATGCACCACGTGTAACATAACGAAGGTCACGCAGGCACTGTCTCAAATAGCTTCACGACTGAGTTGCCTGATACGCCAATGCCAACATCTGGAAACATCTCTTTGCCTTTGTAAATTACGAAGTCATAAATCAACCCGTCCTTTCCTGCGAGAACAAAGTTTTTCAGGCCCACAGAGTTCAGTTTGTTAGGAATGTAGTCCTTCATAGGGCAGCGCCATGAAAATGGGATAATTTGCTCATCCACACAAAAGCAGTTGGGTCTTTCCCAGCCCAAGCAGCCCTTTTGCACCATCTCTACGAAAGGCACAACCTTCCAAAGTTCAAAAATATATGAAAGAGTCAGACGAAGAGGACGGACAGGACAAACATCTTTCGACTTTCAACACATTGAGGTCTTTATTGCCAGGCTGATGAGCAACGAGCTGCCGAAGATTTGGGGAAAGGGTTAGTGGAAAAGATTAGACCAGCGAGGGAGAGGGGGGGAGAAGAAAGGGAGGAAGATCAAAGAAAAGAGCGAAGGGGGCGGGAAAGGAAGTAAGGGAGGTTGGGGGGCGCTTGGCGTGGACAGGCATCTCGTCCCGAAAACTCTCCGAGTCTCTCCCTTACTTCCTTTCTTCCTCCCTTACTTACTTCCTCTTTTGAAGTCTCTCCTTTTTTCCTATCGTCATCACTGACGTCGTCGTCAAGTTGGCAACACAGGTTAGATCGCAATAAGAAAAATTGATCTCGTGGCATAGTGACAGCTATTGAACTAACAGCCAAGCTCTTCCAAAAAAATCATATTCTGGGATAGCCAGTCACTCCCATTAGCATTGAACAAGCCAAAAACTGTTTCACTTCCTGGCCAGTGACTTCAGCTATGGTTCCACGCACCCTCAGAATTCTCTGGTTTGTTTTTTCAGCCATTTTTTCGAGCATGATGTCATCTACATGCTGCTTGTAGTAATCAACAGGCGAGAACTTTGATCTTTTTTTCGAGAATACACGCCCAGTTTCGAGAACAGCCACGTCGTTCTCTGGTGCAGAATCTGGCGCCTTCCACAAAACGTGTCTTTGCAAAATATCTGCTCCGCTGGAGTCGTCGTCACTGTCAGTAGATGAACCAACATACTCCTCGGTGTCGGAATCGTACGCACCATTCACGTTGTTCACGTCGTCTTCATTCTCCGAGTCCGAAATATCGGAGGTTTTCCGTTCGCTAGTTGATTGCAAAACTTCGTCAGCCTTCTTGGTGGATAACCCTGAAACTACAAAGCAAAGTTTATTTTAGACTATGGTTCGCACTTGTTGAATTTCAAGAAAAAAACGCTCTACAAGGGGCACCGACTTCAAAACGTTCAAACACATGGACCCGATGTCCCTGTGCGAGGACACTACACTCCATAAGCTGCAAATGTCTCCATAGAGACAACATATTTCTAAAACTGGCATCCACGTGTTCTCTAGGCATTAAACCTTTATGCCACGTCGCAATTGGTTTGAATGACAACTGTTATGAACAACAAAAAAGCGACTTACCCCACCGTCGTGCGTAAAACGTTGACGTGGTGATAGCCGCCATGTTTTCTCAACAAAGGAATGAACAATTTTGCTGAGCTCTTCATAGATGGCACCACAAACATTGGCCTCCCAGAGGAACATTGAGTCTCTGCACTGCAAGGGCCATGTTTTTAGAGCGCAGCTCTTAGGGGCCCGTTTCCGGCTTGAGCGGCGTCGGCGTCGCCGTCGGCGTCGGCGTAACTGCGCGGTGCATCATGGGAAATGTCCCATAATGCACCGCGCGAGCCCCCCACCGGGGTCACGTGACTTCGTGGGGGGCACGTGACCCCCCGAGGTCACGTGACCCCCGCCGATGTCGCGTGACCCCCAATGACGTCATCCACACTGATGACGTCACCGGCATCCACATCGTCATCGTCATCATCACTGATGACGTCATCATCAGTGACGATGACGATGCAGATGCCGGTGACGTCATCAGTGATGATGACGATGTGGATGCCGGTGACGTCATCTGTGATGATGACGATGACGATGTGGATGCCGGTGACGTCATCAGTGATGATGACGATGACGATGTGGATGCCGGTAACGTCATCAGTGATGATGACGTCATCAGTGATGATGACGATGCGGATGCCGGTGACGTCATCAGTGATGATGACGATGACGATGCGGATGCCGGTGACGTCATCAGTGATGATGACGATGTGGATGCCGGTGACGTCATCAGTGATGATGACGATGACGATGTGGATGCCGGTGACGTTACCGACATCCGCATCGTCATCGTCATCATCACTGATGACGTCATCAGTGACGTCACTGATGTCGTCACCGGCATCCGCATCGTCATCGTCATCATCACTGATGACGTCACCGACATTCGCATCGTCATCGTCATCATCACTGGTGAAGTCATCAGTGACGTCACTAATGACGTCATCGGTACCCGCATCGTCATCGTCACTGATGACATCATCAGTGACGTCAGTGATGACATCATCGGCATTGGGGGTCACGTGACCCCCAAGGTCACGTGACCCCCCAAGGTCACGTGACCCCCCCCCCCTGGTTAGTCTAACCCCCCCCCCCCCAGCGCCCTTCCCTCCTCCTCCTCAAGAGCTGCGCTCTAATTCGGCGTTACAGGGAGTTGTAAGCGGCTTTCACTTTTTTTTTTCATGGCCCGTGAACCAATGTTCCTGTGGGGGGACAGGGGGTCTGAGGAGGATAGTATGTTTGAATTAAGCAGCTTATAAATGCATTGAAATCATAGAGGGACAGGCAAAATTTTAAATATTTTGAATTAACTGGAAGTACAAAATGTATGAGTCTGAATTATTTCGAGTCCACGTTACCCACACCGCCCTTAAGTAAAATAATGTTGTTCATTGCAGGCGACCTACTCCACTATACTGCTTGCCGTAGTCGACAGCAACTACAAGTTCGTTGTTGTGGAATTTGGCGCCTACGGGAAGCAGAGCGATGGAGGGGTCCTCCAGCAGTCTGCCTTCGGCCAGCTCCTTGAGCAAGGCCGTCTGGAGCTGCCGAAGGACTTGCCACTGCCCAGCACAAGAATCCCTGCTCCATGTGTGTTCATGGGGGACGAGGCGTTCCAGCTGAGGCCGGATTTCCTGAAGCCCTCTCCTGGACGTGGCCTGACGGCGACAAACGGATCTTTAACTACCGCCTCAGCCGAGCAAGGTGAAATGATCTTGGTCTAGACCAGGCGTGGCCAGGCTGACCCGGGCTAAGAGCCGCAAACAAAATCACGAAACTTCCAAGAACCGCAGGGGGGAAGGGGGGCGGGGCGGGCGGGGGTAAAGTTTTGTCCGGACCAATAAACGAAACTCAAACTACTTTCAAGGTAGCAGTAGCACAAGTCTACCAAACTGCAACCTGTGTTTCGATTTAAAACGAGTTCCATTCCTCTTTTTGGAGAAGTGATCGTGTGAATAAGAGGGAGGCGGATGAGTTCCTTGAAAATCTGCATGTTTAATGTATTGTAAATCATGTCATTTTCATTAATTTCGCAACCTGACAACTGTGGCATAAAAATAGTCTCGCAAATATATTACGCTACATTATGAATACATACTATACCACTCCAAATAGCAAAATATTGTATCTGGCAATTATTTCCAAAACTTGAATTTAAAGAGAAAAAAAAAAGATATGCAATAAGAGAGTTCACAGTATACCTACAGACATGAAAATTAGTAAAACTCCCACGGGACACCTGTGGCTCGCACGTGCCTTTTGTGTCTGAATGCAGAAATGTGCGGTTTGATGTCGGCCTTAGCCATTATCTAAAATTCCTATGTTACAACTACACGTCACTTCACATCTTTTTTCCGGTGGTATGAAGCACACAAATCTCACTGTGGAAGTTTTTTCTGTGCTACTGCCCTTTAAAACCTGACAAAATATGGGAATGCCGTGAACGCTGCGTGTAAACCGGAAGCATGTACTATTGCAGACAAACATCCCCTGGACGCATGAGCATTCACCGAAGTACATTGGTGCACCTATCTGCTAATGGCTCACCTAGTTTCGAGACCATATGATAGCTCACACGAGCCTTTTTGTGCTTCTCATGCATGCGTCTTTCGTCTCTTTTTCGATGCGGTGCTTTTCTCAGAATCCAACGCGAGGGCCCGCTTCGGCGGCCATCGTGATGAGCGTCTGCTACGTATTACTCTGAATAGAGATGGCGCTTGTAGCTTTGTGGCACATATCACCGAGGAGGCGCACCAGGTTTTAGAAAAAAATCTGAGCTTCAACTTGACTGTTACTTCTTTTTTTATTATGTGCAAGTCACATGGTTAACTAAAGTGGTGTGAACTCTGTAAATGCAATATCTCACCTAGCAAACAATCTGCCCACAGTGGCTGTTGGTAAAAGCCCATACCACGTTCTGCAAAGGTGGGTGCAGGGGATGTGCACAGCATTAAAAGACTTAGAAGAAAAGCACGTACAAGGCATTTATTCATTATAAAAAACGAAAAGAATGAAGCAAGTTAACTTGAATAATTGAAACACAAGTCACGACTAATGTCCAGTTAAATTTCCTTCAACAGCAATCACCTGCTGCTGTCGTTGTGTCCTGATATTGCATCTTAAAAGTAACAAGTAATGTACAGTCGACTGAGCAAGAAGCTTGGTTCTTTTTAATACCTGGCACACCTGCTCGGCGATATGAACCGCAAAGTTATAAGCGCAATCTCCAGTCGGGGTAATCCGTAGCAGACGTTCATCCTGGCGGCCGCCGAAGCGGACCCTCGTGCCAGAGTCTGGGGAAAGCACCGTGGCGGGCACATTGTGCAAAAAAGTTGTCTCCTCGGTCTACAGCTGACAAACTTCAAGGAGGAGAGTGGGCTTTGGCTCCTGTAAGCAGCTATCTGTGGGACTTAGTTACACCACATTGTGGATCGTAAGGATCTTTCTCTGCACTTCTCAAGATTTTTAACAACAAAAAGATTTATTGTAAAATAGAACAAAATAATTTTGGAATGAGGCCCAAATTCTTGAACTTGACATATTATTTTGAGAGAGTTTACAGGTATGTTTGTGTCTCTCAAGTGGGAATTGAAGAAATAACCTCTTGCTTTGTTCTTTTCTCGCACCTAAGGGAGATGTGCAGAAAGGCATCCTGGTCACCCGTTGGAGGATTCTGCAAAAACTACTAGGGGAGAGCCCACAGAATGCCGAGGACCTTGTGAAGGCACTCTGCGTTCTCCACAATTTTCTGATGGAGCAGCACGCAGGAGAGGATGCATACTGCGCAGCTGGATACGCAGACTTTGTAGATTCGACTGGTGAGAGGCAGGGCAGCGAGTGGCGCAAACTGCTTGTTCAGCCACCAATGCAGGTGGCGCGAACACTGGCGCGGAACTTTGCCGACATGGCTCGGTATGTGCGGGATCTGTGAAAGTTGTACTTCAACAGTGCTGCAGGCAAAGTGTCCTGGCAAGATGTTGTGCTGAAGTGTTAACTAAGAGGCCCAATAGACCTATTGCTATATTACCCAAGCATCAAGGAGAATGCAGAGATTGGTGCTTCATGCACTGGCCTCAGCAGTAGTAACTTTTCTAAACCAAATACCTAAAACAAATGGCACCTTGCATGCGCGCTCGTCAACGCTTTATTTTGGTTATTTACTTTGAATCTTTTATACAGGGAAGGCGTGCTCGTGTGGCACGTGGAACACCGATCCCTCCATTCTCCCTGATGCTTGGGTAATAAGCAAATGGTCTATTGCAGGTTAAGCATTCCAGTACAGCATTCTGCACTTTCCAGGCTATGACCTACAGGAGAAAATTTGATAATTTGCATGTGGTGTATACACGAACTCATCTCTGTTACGTCACGGCGCGGTGGTGGTGCGTTGGGCGCACTTACGGTCGGGCTGTGGGCGGAACTCTCCATGTGAGACATGTATTCCTGCGCTGTTTTGAAAGGAACCAGACAAAAACCTGCCTTCTCATCAAAACGCCGCGACTGGGGCTGTTTTAAAAGAGTCGAGAAAGGTTTGAAGCTCAGTTTTCATGTGCTCGGTTCGTCCGAGAACGTGGATATGTGCCGCAAAAAGGGAAAACCAGACGCCATTGGACAACGATTGCTTGGGTGGGAAGCACTTTGGGTTCAATTCACGGATACTTGTTATCATCAGATTTATTTGTTTTGTTCCAACATGAACACCGGAAAGCCGTCAAGTTGTACAGACCACCTGCGGACTACGTTTAGTGCGTCTATAACTTCATACAGTCGCCTGATCGTTCGAACTGTCGTCTGCTCTTTCAAACGTTTCTGCTTGCCATCTGCTCTTTTAGACAACATTGGCCCATAGACCAAATGTTGGCCCGGTGCTTACGATATGAAGCGAGTGCAGGCCCCAAAAGACTTAAGTTGGAAGGTTGGTAAGCAGGCTCGATGTAAACAGTAGATACAATGAGATGTTGATCGTTGTTACCAGTGGCCATCACCGACTTGTTATGTCTGATTCACGTGGTCCGATTCTGCTTGCGATTTTCAGTATCAACGTCGACCATCTCGGCTGTGGTTCACACTTTGGCAGCTCGAGCGACGTTGCAAATGAAAATTGCGAGCGAAATCTCATGATGCGAGTCGGGCTTTAGCGTCCATTCTGCGGCATCCACACGGAATGAATTGCTGCATGTCACATTATTCACGCGAAGTTTTGCGGTGTAACGAGCCTCGTTAATTTCTCTGAGGCCGCTCAAGTAGTCGGACATTGCCAGGAAGACGTAGAATCAACAATTCGAACGTGAAAAAGGGCAAAGGGACTCACACCGACGCTAACAGCATCGCGTTTCAATGGTTTCTTTATGGGCGTCAGCAAGCTTCTTGCCCACACTCCATCGTGCATGTGCAGCGCCAGTGGCATCCGCTAGGGGCGCTCCGGGTTGTTTGTAAAAATAAATTGGTGTATAGTCTCACAAGTCGTCTTCAATGGTGGTAAAGGCTCCGGTGCAAGCTAGGCACTGCAGATTTTTTGTTTGTGCGAATACTTGTGCATAAATATCTTTCTGGAAAACCACATGCTTGTGCACGCAGAATATCTAAGAAACATATTTTTGGCAGAAGCTTTCTCCTGTGGGTCACAGCCTGGAAACAATTGGTGATTGTCATTATGTCCCATACTAGTATTGAAATGTAGATATGCTCTATCATCAATGACGGGTTAAAATCTTTACGCTCCGTCTCGGGTACATCGCTTCGGACATTGATGATGCTTCAGCTCATAAGTTGTCAAAGTTCGGCAGAAGGCAACGAGCGTGTGCTGGAGGTGTAGCATTTTCTGTGTTCTTAACCTGTCAACAACTATAGATCTAATCATGATGTAACTTTGCTTGGAACATGTATTCTATTTGGTTCTGTACTGTTGTTCTATTGTCTTTAGTACTGTTGTTTCCTCGATAGTTACCTATTTCAGCTGCTGAACTTGGTGCAAGCATCCGGCCGATTATCTGCTCCTTTTTTTATCTACTTCTGGGGTTCCTCAAGACATCCCCCTTGGTCCTTTGCTGTTTTTAATTTTTCTAAATGATCTAGCTTCCTATATTAAACACACCGCACGTGGTTCTTGTTATTTGCCGATGACATTAAGATATTTACGGCGATTAAAACTGCTGACGATTGCGAATGTCTGTAGCGTTATATATATTCTATTTTGGCGTGGTGTTTTTCCAATGACCTACTCTTAAATAAGTCAAAGGCGAAAGTTATGTTCTTTTCTAGGAAGTGTGAAATTCCGAGTGTTCCTTATTTATTGGATTCCACCGATATGACTCGCATTGAGGTCATCCGTGATCTAGGCGTTTTTAGGGATCCTGCAATTAATTTCAATCATCACGCGACTACAATTGTGAATGTTTCCTTTAGGGTGGTAGCCATTACGCGAGTGACACGGAGTTTTTCTAACCCACTTTGTATTTTACGTTTGTTTTCTTCACTGGTGCGTAGTCGTGTTTAATATGCGTTTGTTGTCTGGGACTGTATTGGAGTGAAAAATTCAGGTGTAATTAAGAGTGTTCAAGGTAGATTCATTTGTGTTTTGTTTCATCGTTATTTTCAACCAAATTATTTCTATAGTTATGAGAGGATTTGTGAACTCGTGAAGTTAGACTCGTTGCAGAACAGGAGAATAATTCGTGGACTGACACATTTGTACAAGATTGGAAATGGTGTAATTGATTCACCAGAGCTACTCAGTCACATCTACTTGCAGGTTCCTCATAGGTCTTGTAGACTTTATAGTTTGTTTTACCCTACCGAATTTTACCATGCTGCACCCATGACACACCTACAAGTGATGCATAACCATTTAGAATGGATTTGTGGGAATGTTAGTCTTGATATTTTTGATGAAGAGCCTAAATTTAGAAAGTGTTGAGACTATTGTTTTGTCCTAACATTTAGCTTTTATCCCGTTTAAAATTTAACTACTAATTAACTCATTGATAAGTGCACCAGAAAGGATGCGTTAGGCTGTCGGTGGGTCACTCAAAATAAAATAAATAAATTGCTGCATGAGCAGTCTTATTTCGTGGCTGGAAGTTGTCAAGCTGTAAATTATTTTTTTCCCTCAACTCTGTCTAGGGGAATGTAAAATTAGAATATTTGGGCAGTGTTATCTTAGTTGTGTTCCAGTGGTGCAAATGAGAGTATTTGTGCAATGTTTATCTTAGTTGTGTTCCAGTGGTGCACTCAAGACAAAATTTTTTTAAGGTTGCACTGTTTTATTATTTCCGACGTTGCATGGTTGATTTATTGGTTAGTAAGAGCGATGAAAGTTAGTAAGAAGCTTAGGCATTATGTTGTGGTGTACTCAAAAGTGTCCCTTAGAGGTTGTGTTTTGTGATTGCTACGATTATCTTGTAAAACCAAAGAATAAAGGATAAGTCGAAGGATTGGGCAAACAGACACATCTGTACATCTTCTTTCCTCCCATCCTCACATGCACATGTCAAATGCCCTTAGGAATGCTACTTGCCCGTCCTCCAAAGCAGACGAGATAGGAGCATTTAGTGCTCCCCAATCTGCTCTCTAGGACGGGGAAGTAGCATTCCTAAGGACATACAACAGGGGCATGTGATGATGGGGTAAAGAACTTCACTCGAGAGAATGTGTATACTACAGTACATTATTTTGCGGCCCTTGAACCTGCATTAGGGTAGTAGGTATTACACCTCTTCGGTACTGTAACACCACATCCAGGAGATGTATCTGGCAGTAGCCATAGAGGTGCTCTGGCACATTGTCCAATTGGCTAGACAGGGAAAGTAGGAATTGTTGCGACGGAGTTTCTTTGTTCTGTAACTGCCGGCCAATGTCTTGGATGAGCTCAGTGTCATTAATAGTTCTCTTACGTCTGGGTGGTTGTGATGTGTCTGAAAGAGTGTTTGGAGAGGCAGGGTCTGCAAAAGCAGCAGAGACGGACTGAGGAGAAGGAAGGGAACGGCATGGAGCAGAGGCAGAAGCTTGAGGGCGAAGAGAGGCATATTGAGAAGGCAAGGTAGGAAGGACATGCGGGGAGTGGGTGGGAGGAGAGGAGGCCGAGTGCGCAGGGCAGTCGTCACCACGCCCGTCGACGATGGCAGAAAGTATCTGCGATGCGCTGTCCTCCAGCTCCTCCTCGTAGCCTTGCAGGGCCTCTTGCACTGAGTTTTCATTCTCCACGTCGAGTTTGATGTTGCTGGTGGTCCTAAACACAGATTAAACATTTTTTTCATTGGCTGTTGAGTGCATTAAAATCATCCACATATTCAAATTTTCTATTTTATAAACACTTAAAAAATTGGTATACGTACATGCGTGGCTCTACGATGTCCCGAAGGAAGAGCATCTGATTGAAGTATGTCCATTTTAAGCTGGGCTCTGCTGCACCAGCACTACTCCTTTTCTTCATCTCCCTCAGCTTCTTTCCGAATGTATCTCTAAGGTTTCTCCACCTTTTAGTGACAGCCCTGATGTCCTCTAAGGAAAGATACACATTTCAGGCATTTTTGAGAACCATATACCAATGTATGAGAAAAGATGCTTCATGGAATTGCGTGCAGTGTAGTCAGCGGGGGAGGGGGGGGGGGGGGGGGGGGCAAATTTTCTGCTCATGCAGGTTACTAAAGGCACTCACTCCACGTTAATGCATCATGTAACTGCTGCAGCAGACCTTTCAAGAAAAGTGCATGCAGTCACTGCTACTTCACGTCACAAAGGCTACAGGTATTATAGGTCTTTTGCCAAATTAGCTAAATTGCATGGAGAATGCTTCGAATGTAGTTACCTCAATATCAGGTGTGGATAAAGCACGTGTAAAGTAATTTATTTCGGGTTTATGTTGTAGAACAGCTGCAACAGATGCCAGCACGCGTAACGCGTGAAATTACACCCGCGGCATGGCCCTTTGGGCTCGGGTCGCATGACGCGAAACGTTTTGCCTGTCTGGTTTCTGGGATTTTCGCAAACATGCCTCAATGAATCACGCGCTAGCTGTTAGCGGTTTCTAAAGTTGATTAGAAAAAAAAAAAAAAACGTATATGAAACGGATTGTCAAAAGGGACCGCCCGAGTTGTGGCGCAGGTCTGAGGTAACGGCTGATTCACACGCAGCAAACCCAGGGTCAAATCCGAAAAGCAGACGGTGCAGTTTTTTGGCGTTTTTTTCGTCAGTCATTTGGCGATATCGACAACGTATCTTATTTTACAACTATCGTTAAAAAAATCAAATGCGTCGTCGACGAAGCGTCGCAGAACGATAGAGAACAACTACCACCGTGAGCTCTCCGCCACATCTGGTCAAGGTGCACGACGACCGCGCGAGCGCGACATCAGTGTGTTTCTCAGAAAACCAACGGCCGCACGTGTGCATTCACCACGCACCATTAATTATTTCAGTCGACCGCTAGCTGACAAAATCTGAATATCCTTCTCTTAATAAAGTGTAACAACAAGAACAACAGTAGCGACGAGAAACTGGTGGAGTCGCGGACGAGAGCGCGCGGGGACGCTAGATCGTCGAGCTCTGGTCGGAATGAATCGTGGGTGGAGGCAAAGCTAGCTATTTTTTAATCTAAACTTCAAACGGGTTCGATTGACAAATGCCGACGTCCAGCGTTCGCATTCGAAGAGCGGGTAGTGACAAAGCCAGCTATCCTCACTAATTAATAAGAGTCGGCTCGGCATTCTGGCGTCACCGCGCTCTCGTCTCCACCTCTTTCTCAGTTTCTTGGCGCATAGCTGTCTCTAGTTGCAACTGTTCATAAATAGATTTCCGCTAATGATTAGGCCATTCATCTATGAACAAACAATTTAAAAAAAAGATATGAAAAACAAACTTTTATCGCTGAAGCTCCGTGTACAGGGTGTCACAAAAGAAAATTTACACGGTCTTTTTTACCGCAAAAATAAACTAGGCGTCGCCGAACGCTCATTCTCCGCCAAAAGGTAGAGCTAGAGGTCACAACCAGATGCCAAAGTTTCAGCAAGTGATTTTCTGAAAATTTCAACGGGAAAATGGCGGCCGACGGAGTTTTCAAACACATGGGGCTCTATGGAACCAGAAACCGAAAACAGGAAAAAATGGGCCCCATTTTCCCATTGAAATTTTCAGAAAATCACTTATAACTTTTAAGTTATCGAATCGGGCTGAAACTTGGCATCTGGTTGTGACTTCTAGCTCTACCTTCGGGCAGAGAATGAGCGTTCGGCGATGCCTAGTTTATTTTTGCGGTAAAAAAGACAGTGTAAATTTTCTTTTGTGACACCCTGTAATTCTCCGTGAGGCCCATACCTGTGGAGACAAATTTCCAGCTGTTCGCTTTCAAATCGCTGTTTCCAGACAGCACCGACTCTTGGTCCCAAATAGCACGAGCTCATTTTGAGCAACGCGCTTCGCCGTGCTCGCATTCATCGCTCGCTCAGTTCGCTGCTCTCGCGCGTAGCTCATGCTCTCGTGGGCCGGTCGTCAGGTGACGTCACCATGACGTTCGCGCCACCCGTGCTGCCATTGGCTGCGAACCTCCGAAAATCGGACAACGGTGTGGCGATATCTGGCAAGTTGGCCGCACGCCGGCGCCGGACGGAGCCCCCGTACAGCGCTCCGGTGCGACGTCAGCGACGTCATGAGCTTATCCCGGCTTTAAAGGCTCGTTCACACTCTTGCAGCCGAGTAAGACCGAGAGAGACAGAACCGGTTTTTAAGCCTTTTGCGACTTCTTAGGACGAGGGGACCCATGTTGGACTTTCGAGAAACTAGAAACAGAAGTGACGTACCGGCAGGAGGAGCGTAACCAAGCAAGCACCGCGAAACCGCCCTCTTTGACGCCGTGACGACATTGCAAGATTGGCGTCTGTCACTCACCTGAGAGGCGTCAAGAGCCAACCCCTGCAGAGCGGAAGTAGCTACGCTGTCCCCCTGCCGTACCTACGCTTTCTCGGCGGTACCTATCTGGAACCTAGTCCCTACGCAAGCGTCCGTTTCTCTGGCAACCGGAGGAGCATTTTCTGCTTTTAGTCAAGCGATGGCAGCCAATCCCTTGCGGCGGCGACCTTCACATCGGCTCTATTTTAAAGAAACTTGTCAAACTAAAAAAATACACGTGTTCTATTGAAATAAACAACTGATTTTGTAGCGGTTCCAAAAAATATTAGATAGAGTAAACTCGCATAAAGGGCTAGAACAACATGCGGGACGTTGATGAGCGCCTAGTTCAAATTACTGGCGCTAATGACTGCTCAAGAAACAGGAGGATGTGGCCTCTCTGGTACGCGGCGCAACTAAGCTGAGCCCGGCGCTGTCCAGAGACGACAAAGTTCGTCTCTGGAACGAGCTAACCTCCCGGCTCAACTTCCTCGGGCCTCCAAGGAAGCCTCCGAGGAAGGAGCCGGAAGGTTGGAAACGCTACTGAGCCATGCGGGTGTCGAAGGCGCGGGCGCGGGCTACGGAGCTGGCGAAACAGGCGAGGTAATTTGCGTAGTTTACTCATAGTGTGGACCAAGCTATTGAATTACTTCCTTTACCCGCAGGCAAACAGGGGGCGGAGGCGCCCGGGTGCGCTCGCTGGCGTCATCATACTCGCGTATTTTGGCGCTGGTGGGCGAGGACTCGGCCCTGGGCGCTCCCGGGTTTTCTTTATTTGAAACCAAGAGGTCTGCACTCTAGCCACAACTTGCCACCCGCCTGAAACTGGTCTCCGGGTTTGCCATTTTTCTTTTATCGAAATAAAGTGGAGATTTGGGCCAGTTTGTTCATTGCAAACAGAAAAAGCGCCGAAGGGAAACAGGTCAAGGTGCACTCTCAACTGAAGTTAAATTTTCACCAGTGCATTTTGTCCTGTTTCCTTCGTCTGTGTCCCTGTGTTTTTCGTTTGTTTGTTTTCTTATATCATTGTTTATCTCAACAGGCCTCTACTATGGAATCTCTCATGCTTCCATGTGTGACTAAACACACACGAAGTGGCAGTGTGCTGAATTAAGTGAAGTGTAGTGTGAAATAATGTCTGTGATATATCCTGGATAATGACAAAGAACTTATACGGAGTTTAATAGTCCATGCTCAATTTTAAAGAAAGTATTGCAAGCTGTGCTTTCAAACATGTTTATTTTTCATGTTACGGCATTGTTGTAAAAAAAAGAAAGCACTTTCAAAGACACTGTTTGTTGTCTTCTTTATACATTCAAACTGACACAAATCCAATATGCGATTATCGAGTAATACACCTGGCCCTGTGGTAACCATAATAGATTGTAAAATGCAACAGGGCAATGGAAGTGTAGAGAAAATGAATCGATGTCCAAACCCGATACGAACAATATATTGCAGTAAAAGAAGCAAAACGGGTCTCACCAGTAGCCTCATTGAGTTATCCGTTTCCTGCAAGGGCGAGCCAGATGCCCTGTTGGCTAGCTACATAACCCACAATACATTCTGTTATTGTTCCAGGCATTTTATGCACCCTGCTTGCAAATTAAAAAAAAAACCTCTATCAACATCACCGTGATGCATTGAAAAGCATTTCGGAGGCGGTACTACATGTCCGTAAAGGTAACACGGTGGTTGTGCGACAAACTGCGCAAGGCATTGGAGTTGACACTGTGGAGCTTATGGACGGCCTTGACTGTGGAGCAACACGTGAGGCACATACTGCCACTGGGGGCTTCTCTGGTGGCGAGGGCGTCAGTCGAGGTGAGGAGGACGAGGGGTGCGCTGTCGCCGGTGGCGTCCCTGGTGTGCGGGAGTGCCACCGTGGCGAGGACGATGAGGGGCTCCCTGTCGCCGATGGTGTCCCTGATGGGCGGGACCTCCATTGTGGCGACGGACTCCTTGGCACTGGTGGTGTCCCTGGTGGGCGCGACTGCCATCGTGGTTTGCGTGGGGCACCGGGGAGGCATGGCTGTGGCGGGTTCGGAACTGGGCAACAAGGCGCTGCCTCAGAGCCCTCCCCCTGTCCGAGAGGCTGACCCGAGGGTGGGCAGGAGCTAGCCTCTCGTCATCCGCCACTGACCCCTCCGAGCTCGGCCCAGACTCCAACCCTGGCTCGTGAGGGTCCGGTTCTGCCTCCCTCGATGAAAGGCACATATTATGGAGCACTGCACAAGACAATATAATGACGGTGGCTGTTGTTGGATGATAATACAGAGTCCGGTGTCTTTGCAGACACTGGAATCTGCTTTTCAACAGCCCAATGCAGCGCTCCACAATGGACCTTATTGAAGAATGTGCCTTATTAAACCGGCCGCAAGCGGTGGAGGTCGCGTGGAATCCAGGGACAGGTGTGATGAGCTAAGGTTCCAAGGCATAGCCGCTGTCACCTGCAGAGTCGGAGAAGGAAATGTATGATATTAATGCTGTTTTTTTTTTTTAAAGAATACTTCAACGACAGTTGAAATATACCCTTCGTGTTCAGAAATAGGCTGAATATGATCCACGATACCCGTAAATGACAATTGCACATTTGTATTTTGAGCTTGATGGCTGTATTTTTCGTTATAAACAGCCCACACTGGCAAGCGCTCGGAGAGCAGCCAGCTGACAACACGTCGCATCCAGTGCAATTGTGATGTAGTTTATCTCGGGATGAGCAAAACTGCGGCGAGGCAGACGTCGTCAGGATGCCCCAGCTGTTCCAGCAACCAAAGCGGTCGAAGCACGCCAGCGATCGGGCCACCGCAACTAACCCCAAAGCTGCTTTTGTGTGAATTTTGAGTGACGGGTTAATCTTCTATCATCTTGGGACACACAAAAGAGAGTCCCGTCGAGTGTGGAATTCCTCCCTCCCCTTTTCTCTTCTGCTGGCCGTAGAGCTGTCGGGATGGCATCAGGTTCAAAGCATGTATAGTTCTAAGTAAGACAGTTATCATCCCTACCTGTCAAGGTTCCTAGACGGGCATTACAGCTTTAGCGACATCTAGAACATGCTCTTTGCTAATTGCCTAATTTATTTAAATGCCTTTTGGTGCCTTTTTCAACAAGATATTGATGAGTTCGATGTGATACTGCTCTTTTGAACACGTATAGACCAAAAAATAAGCACCGAAATTTCGTTGTAGTATCCCTTTAGAATTGCTCACAACTACGCAGGTAAAACTGCTGTTTGCAACCTTTCCCCCCTGTACACACTTAAAATTTTTACACCCTTATTCGTGTAAATGGCTCGTCCTCTGGCTAACGCCTTTATTCGTGTAAGGGTGTTAGCCGCCAGAGGTGGTGAAAATCGTGTTAACTGCTAACACCCTAAAAACAATATGGCGGCCAGTATGCGACAGCCGATACGAGCCTGGCGAGCCGTGCGCGGCTTCTCGCCGGAGCAAAAGCATACGGCTCGCACGCTCGTTTGGTGTCATCTGTAGGCGCAAAAAACTTTCCAAACATCTCTATGTCCAAGCGTCAACACCGCAAATAATACGAGTAAGGCCGAAACCGCTGGAGAATGAACAGCCAAGACTGTCGCCGAAGTCTCGCTCGGCCTGCTCAATGCCGGTCGCATTTTCATCGCATCAGAAGCGCTTATAAAGAAGGGATAGCTTTACAAAACACTGACAGGCTGGCTTTATTGAACAAAACGCCCACTAGCCGTGGACGACAAGTTGACAACGAATCGCTCCGACACCCTCTGTCGACAGCGGCTAGGAGGTATCGCACTCGCGCTCCGTGTGGCTCTCGATTAACTATTGCCTGTGCTCACCTCTGTTACGTGCGTTATCCACTCATGAACGTTTGTGCGTGAACAGCGGCATTCAGCACCTAAAACACGCGCTGGGGAAGCCGCCTAACCTCCTTTTGTTGCAATCAGGCAGCATAAAGCGCGATCCAAACCAACGCTTCTTTTTGCGCCTGTAGGTCGTGCGGCTGCGGATGTGACGTATTTTCGTGACGTCGCGCCGCTTCTTTGCTCCTTCCGGACGCGCACAAGAAAGTTGGTTGATTTCAACTTCTTTCTCAACGCGCACAAAAACGCGCGGTGACGTAGTAGGACGCCCCTGTGTCCCGGCCAATCGGTGGAGGGCAAGCTAGTTCCGGCTCCGCGTTTCTCGCCGTCTGGCTGCCCTCTCCTCCCTCCCCCCCCCCCCTTTTATTCTCTTCCAACATGACAACGCAATCTCTCTCTCTCCCTTTCTCTCGCCGTCTGGCCGGCCAGTCTGTCGCAGTTGCACTTTGCTTGTGCGCTCGTGCCTGCGTGCGCGCGTGCGCGCTCGCCCGAAGTTTCGCCCGTCCAAACCAAAGCGCACGGTTCTGACTCAGAAAGCGCGCCCGGAAACAGCAAAAACGCCACGAAATGCGTCACATCCGCAGCCGCACGACCTACAGGCGCAAAAAGAAGCGTTGGTTTGGATCGCGCTCGACGACACAGCCGACACAGCTACCAGCGGAACCGAACAACTCGGAGCGATCAACACGACGGATGGATAATGGCATCCAGCCCTCTAATAGTTATAGATCACCAACCGCCACACTTTTCAAATTGGGCGGCGACAACCCCCCTCTAGCGACGAAAAAAAAAAGTGATCAACATTTGAAAAAAGAAAACAACAGTTTTTTTGCTGTGCACAGCGCGGTTACATTCACTTACGACATGGACATACACACAACACTGTACATACACACGGACATACAAGCACAGATCAATTGCACAGTACACAACAAATAGTACATACATCGCGGTATATATGTCCTCCTATTTCGCGCATCGGTTAGCCCAGTGACCACGCTAGTCTTAATCAAGATATGAAAAGATAACGCCAATTTTATTTTTCAAAAATATTTTTTCTGCATTTGTCTTAGGTAGGTACACATATCCCTTAATAACTTCTTACAGCATAATGTATTATAATGATACGCGCCTAACTTCTAGTAACTCAACGTGAGTGACGAGAAAAAAAAATCGTGTGAATTCTGTCTGGCAACCACACTCGCGGCGTGGTTGCTATGGCGACGCTGTCGGTACGCGCGCCGGCAGCCGTCCAGCTGGTTCGGCCGTTCGGCTACGGCCGAGTGCGCGAGTCCACGGTGAACGCAATCGAGAAAACAAAGCGTCGACTACTGAAGCTGTACGTAATCGAGTTTCCGCCCGTTCGCTGCCGAATTGTTCGTAGTCTTCTTCCGCCCGTTCGCTGCCGAATTCTTCGTAGTCTTCTTCCGCCCGCTCGAAAGGGAGCAGCCTACCAGTCCGATTACCGCCGTGGCTTCAGTGGCTTCATCTTCGGAGGGAACTGTCAACTGAATTAGTTCCAAAACGCGGGTGCATCAGGCAGCGCAACGTGGCGCGGTCCACGCACAAAGTCGGTAAGTAAACAAAACACTCAATGCCGTTCCATTCTTTTTTTTTTTTTTTTTTATCTACGGGGGCGCGCGGTGTTTTGGGTGGCTCAAGGTATGGGAAAGCAACCGGGAAAATCGGCGCCTGATCGACCATGGGGTGAAAATTTCAAGGCGTATCGTATGCAAACGACAGCGTTTGCCAGCGGAAGACTCGGTCGTCCGTGGCGAACGCATTTTTAGTATTTTTAAGGATGTTCTAGCTGCAAAAGAAAGGAGCGCCTTAATTCACAAGGTAAAATACACTGCTGAGGAAACGACGCCCCTTTGCGTGCAGGCGCCGATTTTTCCGGCAGAGTTTAGCGCGCTGTGAAATGCAGTGTGCATTTAGGGAGAGTTTTGGCATAATATAATGTTGCTCATTGGAAATGAAAAAAAGAAATGCTGGCATCATATGTTTACACTCTCTTAGTTATTTTTGGAATCTTAAGTACCCTTTTTGTGGCAGGTATTGGACGCCAGCACATTTTACGTAGGAACGAAGAGTGGAATCCGGCCAATTCCCTTCCACATTAACATCAAATGAGTGCTGTGAAAGCAAAGAAGAAAGTGAGGGTGAAACAGTTCCTGCAGTAGTAAGTGCCAGAAACAAGAAAAGTGCCCCGAAGTGGAAAATATACTCCCTTGAAAAGGATCCAAAAGAAATAGAGGTTATCAGGTATATCGCCGCGCGTCACAAACCTCGACACTCCATTTCAGTTTTTTAAATGCCCATGCCCTGATGAGCTGTTTACAGCGATATTTGAGGGGACCATCCTGTATTGAACTCAATGCCACCATGAACACCATTTTCGGGTTCTGGTCACACCTCCACGCAGAATGTCCTGCTTCAGATCAAGGAGGATATCCTTGACAGAATCTCCTGTACGACAACGCGGGCGGTCCTGGCCCTGGATATAAAGGGCGCCTTTGACAACGTCAGTCACACGCTGGTGTTCGAGAACTTGGCCTCAACTGGGTGCGGGCCCCGAATGTATGATTATGTGCGGGACTTCCTGAGCAACTGGATGGCCACCATCGGAATCGAGTCCATCCGCACAAGCACCATCCCGATACCGAGCAAGGGCAATCGGCAAGGCTCGGTCCTGTCACCCACCTTGTTAGCTGGCGATGTGCAAGCCGCCTCCTCTACTGGAACGGATTCCCCGGATGAAGCATACACTCTATGCCACTTTATGTGGACGACCTGACGATTTGGGCTACGTTGGGATCGGACAGCGGGAGGCAAGACTTCCTCGAAGAAGTCATTGAGACGGTGGAGAACTACCTCGAGGCCGGCAACCTCCAGCGCGCCCCCGATAAGTCTCAGCTGTTGCTCCTCCGCACGGGCAAGCCAATTCCCGAAGAAGAAGAAGGCGGACATCCGCCTCACGTTAAAGGATGGTACCCCCGTGCCGGTGGTGAAGCGGGTTCGGATCCTGGGGCCTTCACCTCCAGCGGGACGGCGGAGCCAAGTACACGGTCGACCGACTCGTCAAGACAACCACGCAAGTCATGCGCATGGTGAGAAGGATAACGAGTCACAGACACGGGCTCGAGGAGTCGGACCTGATCCGGCTGACCCAACCACTCGTCGTGAGCCACATCGCCTGCGCAAATCCGTATCTCAACCTGCTGTCGAGAGGTAAGGGCAAGATGGACGTGATTATTCGCAAGGGGTACTAGCTGGCACTGGGGGTGCCGCCGTACGCGTCGAACGCCAAGCTCCGGCGGCTAAGTGTAAACAACACCTTCCAGGAACTCATCAACATGCACCTAGCCAGTCAGTGGGAGCACCTGGCCCTCACACTGAGTGGGCGGCATGCCCCGAGCTCGCTCGGCATCCCCATCCCCGCATCGCAATGCGAGGCTATCCAGCTGCTGCTGGCCCTTTGGGACAGGATCCAGGTGGCACCAATCCCG